CACATACTGGTGTCTCCCTCCTAAATCCTGGCTTTCTCTGAAATCCACTGCCTTGTTCAGGGCTTTGGGGATGGCCCTGGCATGTGGAATTCGAATCCTTTTGTCAAGAAGGGACCTACAGCCATACCTCAGTGGCAGGGAGAAGGCTTACAAGTTTCAAACAGGAAAAAGTTCACTTTCATAGCTTAAAGAGAGGATAAATATGCTCACACTTTACGCTGTAAGCTAGTGGTCAGGATACATGCAGCTAAGAAGGGGAAGACCTAGGATCAGTTTTTCTGTCAAGGGGGGTTTCAGATCCCCACTTACCACCTCTTAGAGCAGTGTTCAAACAACTAGGCTCTGTTAGTGTAGAAGGGAGTATTTCTCAGGGTCATAACTTCAAACATTTATCAGCTGTGGGTCCTCTTTCAGTAATGTTCTTGTTTTTAATTCTTTGTAGGTGTAAATCCAGATGCAAACTATCACGCCCTTTACAGATATTTTGTGGAGTTATGGATCTATCTGGGACTAGCTTGGCTTTCACTCTTTGTTAACTGGAAGGTCAGTATGTTTGTGGAAGTCCACAAAGCAATCAAGAAACGGAGGAAAAAAAGAAAAGAGTCATTTGACAACCATCCTCGGTCTAAAAAGCCCCTTCAAATGGGTACCTCAAAGGATGTGAACATTTTTAGCTTCCTTTCAAAGAAGGAAGAGACCTACAATGATCTTATTAAGCAAATTGGGAAGAAGGCCTTGAAGACAAACAATGACAAAATAATTAAAGTAGAAAATGCCAAACAAAATATGCAGAATGCTTGTATAGATGCCCAAGTGACTTACACAAAGACAGAGTCATTTGAGTACGATGAGGCTTCCCTGGACATTCAAAATGGTCATGTACTGAGACCCCTGCATGATAAACGCATCGGAGACAGCCCTCTAGAAGGAACCATGTTCGTAAACCAGCTGGACAGGATTAGTGAAGAAGAAGGTGAAGTGTGGGACTCCAGAGACTATCGACCCTTAATATTTGAGAATGCCAATATAACATTTGTAAATGAAGATGATGATGAAGAGGAAGGTATCTCAGATGATGAGGAAACGTCAAAATCCTCCATGGATGATAATCTCGCAGAGGAACCTGAAACTGCAAAAAAACTGGTAAAATTCCCATCCTCTGATGAATCTACCTTTACCAATAACGAGCTAGAACTTTCTGTGCCTTATGAACAACTGATGAATGAATATAATACAGTAAGCAATGTGAAGGCTGCCACGTGAAGCATGTTTGACAATGGTTTTCTGAAAGTGGTCAGTGCATATTGAACAAATCAACAGAGCAAGGAGAAAAGCATGTTTTTGCAGCTTCTCCTGTCTCTCTGAAAACAAAAGCAAGTCCCCAACTACCAACCTCCAGTGTCCTTTTCCCATCCTGAGTTGGTTTCTGAGCCCATCAGCTTTGCTTATCTGAAAAACTTGTAAAATAACAGTTGATTTTGGAGTCTGCTCCTTCTTGGGTTTTTATGGTTATTGAACAAAGTAGAAAAGAAAAGACTAGTTAATACACTGGACCTGCTCTGCGTTCATGCATTTCATTGAGGAGTTAGTTTGGGTGTGTAACTATACTGTTGCAAAGAGACTGTTTTGGGCATCAAATATGTTCGGTTACTCCATTAGCCTTTCACCTCTGAAAACCTGGATTTGAATCCTGCTTTGATCACAAATGAAATCAAGGTGTTTGCTTTTAGTTGCCCATTGTTAAGTTGTTACCACAAAATAATGGTGCAACCACTAGTTTTACTGAATGAGAAACTTTACGTGCAACACCAGGACACACAGATCTGAGCTGAGGTGCGCTGGCAGACTAAGGAGGAAGCGTCTGAAACGTCTGTCTAGAATATGTCAGTGCTTGTCAAATTATAGTGAATTGTAATTTCATAAATAAAATAGTCAAATTAAAAATTCCAATGGAATGGATTGAGAAGAAGCCCTCTAAACAAGAAAGAATCATCTGGGACGAAGCTCACTAGTTGGGCTGCTAAACTGCACATCAGCCCCAGAACTGTTAAAGTGACTGGAAGACCTATTGATCAAAGCGTGTATGAGCACAAGCAGGATGCAGTGAACTTTTTTAATGTTGAAAGTGTCCTTCCACTGTCCATTTCCTAGAGGAAATACTTGAATGAACCTTATACAGTATCTATGTACAGGTGAAGTTTTATTGACACTGGTCTTCTAAGGAAAAAAAAATCACCTTGGGAGGCACAGATATACTCCAAATGCCTGTCAGAAGGGACCTGTAGCACTGCTGATGATCTGCGCAGTGTGTTAGTCAGTATTGTTGTTTGATGTTCCTCCCTGCCTTGGTACTTCGGACTAGACTTGAACGAGAGATGATTTTTTTGAAACAGTTGATTACCCTTTGCTTATTTGTTTTGTTTTAAAATTTGACCTGTGTGCATATACAATGGTTATTCTACCCCGCTTTCCAGAAGGCTGGGCGGTGTCAAATCTTGGGCAAACTGAGGTGTGATCGAGTGACTTAAGGCCATAAGGCACTTCTTGAAAGGACCTTTGGCTCTAAGCTCCTGAAAGTATTCTCTTTTGGCTTGAAGATGGGCTTCTCATTGAGGAGCAGGTATGTCTCTTCATAACATTTATGCCCAAATTGTTTTGGCTACAACGAGAATTACACCATGGTTTTATTTTTTTCTTTCTTTTGCCATCTCTATGCGTTAGCCCTGACAACTCTTTCAAATGAGGCTCTTGATTACATGTTGGCAAAAGGTACTGACTTCAGTTGTATCCCATATGCTTGGAACAGAAAATAGACCTTTGAACCTTAACATGTCAAGTTCTGTTGTTCTGTTTAGTTTTACAGTATTAAGTCATTTGAGTATGTCTGAAAGTTTCCCAAGTTAAAACAGTTAAAAGTTGTCTCAGCGTAATGCTGGCAGAGTCACTAGCTCTGTGAGAAGAGCTTATGGAATCTAGGAATGTTAATCTGGAATTACTAGCTCTTTCTAATAACTGCAAATATTGGCTGCAGCTTCAGTTGCTGGCCTCTTCCACAGAAGGAGGAGGACACATGGGAAACTGGCACTGTGGTGGGATAGCCTGTTGATGGGCAGTTTTGAAGTAATCTACTGTGAAACAAGGGACTGTCTTCACTAGTCTTTTTTTTCATAATTTTCCACGTATATGACATTTTTTCAAATAGAAAGTGAACACAAGGCTAGGGCCCACTGTTATACTGGCAAAAATGTTGAATTGACCTAATTGGATCTGGTGTTTAATCAGTATTTTATGATCATATTGCTGAAGATGGATTCTAATTTGAAATAAAATTTTATTATATTACTGCTGTTTGGAGCAGGGATGGCTGGATGAATTTGACTTGTATCTGACAGGAAGGAGGGAAGAGGCCCTATCGAGAAGATTCTGATTTACTTCTAATAGACACCCTCACCCTCATAGTTTTAAAATTACTCCAAGCCTTTCAAGCATTTCTGTCTCTCTGAAGGGTTGTGGTTGACAGCTATACCTTGTGAATGTAAGGAAATGCTAGGTAAGACTACACGTACGATACGCGGGATGCTTGTGTAGCAAGTCTAGCCTTCTCTCTTTTTTTTTTTTTTTGTTTAAAAAAGTGCACATTAACTTAAAAGAACATGAGAAAGCACTCCATATAGCTTCTATTGTCCTCCAACTTGTCTTCCATTATTGCTGCAAAGATCAAAGTTTTAGTGACAGTTAGAAAGCTACAGGCCAGTGAGGAGAGAAGGAGCTTGCTGAACGTGCCTGAAATGGAAAAGCCTAGTCTAATCTTCATTTAAATACAGAAAAAATTTCTCATTAATACAGAAATAATACAACCCAGACACTTGGCTGGGCTGCTTTGACTGGGAGGGGATGTTGAACACGGAAACCCAGACTCTCTGTTCTCCGTAGTGTAGTGCACTTGTACGCCAGAGCTGCGGATGGATGGGATCTGTTTCCTATTATCAAGTTAGATGTGGCTCCCTGGCCTTTCCCACTCTAGTTAGCACAGACTCTAAGTCTGCATAATAAGTATCATGGGATTTTAAAGGAATAGTTTAAATTTATTAAAACAAAGTACAATATTCCCGCTTTTTTTGGGAAACATGATCACACCTCACAAAACTGTTCTCAAGACATCCTACCATGTGCCTTAATATAATCCTAACACTGGGAAAAAATTCTTTTTTACACAGGGGCCAACACAATTGGTCTCGTTAAGCCCTACTTGTTTTCAGTGTTTTTTGGAGGGGTTTAGTTGGCGCATAGCTTTCCTACTGGCTCTCTCCAAAAAGTCGAACCATTTCCCAGGGTTTGTAAAGTGATGGTGCCATCTCGGAACCGCCAAAGTGCTAAGCAAGACAGCTTTTTGCCTGCCCGTCTTCCACATCTTGAGAAAAGCAGCTGCCTGGGGGATCTAAATTCATGTCATTTTGCCTTCAGATTTACACGTAGTGAGTTAGAGGGGTGTCCAGGCTGGATTTTGAGCTATTCAGCCCCAAAAGTGCCTCTGAATGAATTCCCCAGTGCTCCTTGATAAGGTCTTGTAGTTCAATTATCTAGTCCATCTGGAAACATTTTCTTTGCGTGCCATGTAATATTTCGGTTGGCTAACCAATAATGTTAACAGCTCTCTTAACGTTATGGAATTGGTTTTAAAGGTGAGAGAAATCTCTTCCTGGAAAGAGAGGAAAGGGGATACTTTAAAAAGAAGAAAGAAAAAAAAAAAAAAAAGGCTGAAAAGTACACATAAGGAAAGATGGAATAGAAGTGGAAACTCTTCTTTCTAGCTATTGCCTATGAGTAGATTTTATTTCCAGTCACATCATGTGTAGCGTGGGTCTACTTTCACAATATGAACTTGCTAATTTTGCCAAGATGAGCCAGTACTTTTAAAAAATTTTTTTTAAAAATTACAAAAATCCTGAAATGTGACAACAAAAGTCTGTTCCTACAAAAGCCCTTTTAAGTGCTATAGACTATGTGACCCCATCCTTCATGATGTTATTGTGACACTTCTTGATTTTTGTCTTGTGCTATTGAAGCCTATTTTTACCTGAAGGGCATCATTTTCAGATACATATCTCACAGCAGGCAGCCTAACGCATCTGATACACTGGTACGAAATCACTGAGGAAACGCAAAAAAAAGTGGTGTGTTCAATTTTTCTGGACTAATGATTTGTGAATCTGTTGCTGGCAATGGATGTCACAAAGCGTGCAGAAATAAAACCAGAGACTGATAACAGATTCATGGTGAAACAGTTGTATATGTTGAATTTTTTTTTTTTTAACTCCAGTTGATCTGGGAGAGTACACGTAGAGACAGACAAGCGTCACTGATGAGGAGAGCAAAAAGCAATATACAAGTCTGACCTATCACAAAAACCCTAGAACTCTGTTGTAGACTTGTAATTTTTGTGCCTCGTGGGATTCATTCCATTTGTGATGGATTTAACTTTAAAAAAAAAAGAGCTTGTCTTTCTTAGGGCTTTTGAAGTTTGTACAGTTCTGACTCTTACCACTCCATAGTATGCCTGTCTGTCTGTTCTTTGTTGCTGATTGTCACTGGAATCACACTGTATGTAAATATTTGCTAAGTCTTTGTAAAATGTAATTTATTTTAATATTTTGCAATAAAAATTTTACAATTTATCCTCTCTGTCGTGAGGAGAACAGCAACCAAGAAATGAGTTTTCTTTTTAGAACTCTCTCCCCTTGTAATGCCCCTCGCGGATGAGACTGGTCCCGGTCCAAAGAGCTGGAAGGTAGGGAGCTGATAAAGCAAGCTGCTTTGTGCATGCAGATGCCTGCACTTCTGTGGCCTATTGATGACTTCAGTTCAATGGCATCTGGGCTTCAACTAGATTCAGCAAAGTGTTACTTAGTGAGGATTTTGGACAGCTGTTGAAAGAGAAAAGTTTATTCTAGGGGCTGTGTTTTTTCAGGGGGCTGTTATTAAAGAAGATGCAATGAGACAGGAAATGTTAGAATCGATCAGTGCTACAATAAAATAAAATGGGTGTTTTTGACTGCTGTCTGAATCTTATGTGGAGCTATTAAAATATCCAAGTAGCTGTTGATGAATTTTCACAAGATTTCTAGCATCAGAGCTCACCATTTTGCAGGGTGGAAGTATTTGCTGTCCTTCAACTCCATCTGTTTCCTTTAGAACAGCTTAGAAAATGGGTAACTACCTACCTTAATGGGCAGCAAAATGGGACTTGGCGATACCCTTGGTAG